TTATAAGTATAATCATCATAAACGTAAATTATTGTACCAGATTTCCTCCCATTTATTTCCTCCATCTAAAAAATAATTAAAAAACGTTAAAATTAATAATATAATTTAAAAAAGTAGAATTAGAAATTGCTGGATAATAATGTTATATTGAAATTACTAACAGTTTTGCTATACATAAGCATTTCTCACAAGTTCTTAGAATGTCACAGAATTCATTTATGGCATACATATCTGTACTACTATTAATAAATATTTCCTTGAATGCACTCATAGATATAAACAATACTTCACTCACACTATATACAGATGCTTAGAAAACTAAGCATTAAAAACTTCAACTAAATTTTTTAATTTCTTATGTTAACTTAGATTGTTTAGTTTAATTGTTTGAATACTTCTGTTAATATTATTAGAAACATCATTTTGCTAATATACTTTAATTTTTTTTACTAATTTCAAATGTTGCTTCTCAATTTATATTAATTTAACAATTTTATTAAAATTTATATAAATACAAATTTTTCTATTTTACTTTATCAGCACATCAGTCATAATAGAATAAATTTATTAAACAATTATGAAAAAAATCAATCAATTTATATAATTGTATTTTCACGAAAGTTTTTCTATCAATATTATATTATATTTACAATATCTCTCTTCTTTTCAGCAACCCAGATGCAGCACAATACTTGAGTTTTGCAGCTATAAGATGCAGTATGCATCGTGAACGAACAAAAAATCAGCCATCCGTACCTAATACATTGGCATCATTATATGACATTTTACAAAGTTCTGATATCATACAAAATATCTATAAAGAAAACGTAATTACAAGTGATGGAAAAAATGCAATAATTTTATCAACCAATTATTTATTACAAGCATTATCTTCTGCTACTGAAATCTACGTCGATGGAACTTTTTCTGTAAGTATATGACTATCTTTTTCTGTAATAAAGAAATTTTATATAAATTTTTATAAGTGTTATAAAATTATATAAGTGTATATAAGTTTTATAAGTGTTTATAAAATTGTGACAGTAACCAAGTTATTATAACATATAGAGCAATATAACATATAGAGTCTAATTACCTTTTATTTACTATTTAATTTTATTTAATAATTAACTTTTATTTTGCATATTTTGCCTAAGGTTCTCCCATGTAAACCTCACATTGCGCAGCTTTACTCTGTACATATGCGATATATGGATACGGTAAGATACTAAAATTAAAATTAAAATTTTAATTATTTAATTTTTCCAAGTATCAGGAATAGATGACGAAAATAAGTAACATGACTTTTTCAGGGTATTGCAACATTATTTATATTATGTGATGTACGTACAATAACTATGTATGACGCTTTATGGGATAAAATTACACAACTGATACCACAACTTGAACAAAATATCAAGTTTATCATGAGCGACTTTGAAATGGCTGCAGTAAAATCGTTGAACAAAAAGTTTCCTAGAGCTAAGTTAACTGGATGTTGGTTCCATTTCAATCAGGTATATATAGATTTTTATATATAATCATTAGTAGTATATAAAACACATAAATGTCTCTCTCTCTTTGTCTGTGTGTGCATACGTACGTGCGTGCGTATATGCACGCAGTAAATATAATATATTATTAATAAATTTAAAGTGTTTATAAATATATATATATGCTATTAATAAATAATTATATAAAGAAAATTTTAAAAATTAATCTTTAAAAAAGGGGCAGATTTTTTCATAACTTTCACAGAGTTTAGAACATATAAAATTTCCATAAAACAATCAATATTTTTGTAAATATTGATAAAATTATTGCATATTTTAAGTAATAAATACAAAGATATTTTAAAAATACTGTTATAAAATATTAAAAAAATATATTTCAAAGTTTAAAGATACGAAGCTCTAAAAAAATTTTTGAGAATTTTTTCATGTAAAAACATTTTTTTAATTTATTTTATTTATGAATACATCTGATAATATTGTTTTTTATGGTATGTTACAAAGCAAGACTGTGTATACTGTGCATTTTTAATTTTTTTTTACTATCTTGCAAGCAATTAATAGATAAAAACGTATTATACGTGCACTGCTGACTTAAAACATGTTTTCCGCATGGGTTTTTCGAAATTCCTTTGGGTATCTGAATAACAAGAAAATGAGTAGGCTATCACAATGCTACAATAATATTAAGAACAATGTAAGATCAGCTTTATATACAGTATATTTATCGCATTTAATAGAGTTAACAATTGAATGAGAGATCGATAATCAATAATTGTTATTTTTGATTGGCGTATATTATTAAAACGCGAGCTGTTTTATTAGATTTCTCACATATTCAAAATATGTGAGAAATCTAATAAAACAGCTCGCGTTTACGCAATTTTTACACGGTACATTATTTTCAGTCCATATTATGCTCTTGTCAATATATGTGCCTGAAATGTTCTAGTCGTAATACCGCTTTTCTTATAACTACCGTGCTCGCCTTGTATGTGATTAATGCAGTACATATATGTGTTCGATTTTCGCGATTTTTCCGTGGTACATAATTTTTAATCTATCCTACGTTCGTGTCATTATGTGCCTGAATTGCTGTCGTCGTAATACCGCTTTTGTCGTAACCATCGTGGTCATGTTGTCCAAGTAACAATTAGAAGAATATCAAATATATCAAAATATTTCTGCGAGAAGAGTATAGTTCTTATCCAAACATATTTTTGTCTTGTTTGATTGTTCGATTATCAAAGTAAGTAATGTATGGGTAGTATAAAAAATTTTATATTTGATAAATTTTATTTGTGATTGAAGTATAATATATATATTTATATGTTATGTGAAAAATTTAATAATAGAACAGCCCAATAGCAATAATCGCTTATTCAACTGTTAAATTCGCTGAATGCGGCCAATAATACTATTGAAAAATGAATGTCGGCCTAGGCACGTGATAAATGCGTGCACACGCTGTGACGTGACGCTTTTCGAGCGCCGTCACAAGGGCGATAGCCCGGCCGAGGGAGCAAAGAGTCCTGGTGTTGCTTTTCGCGTGGAGAGAGCAACCCGCGAGACCCCACAATTTGTACGCGTTGTTTGTATTGTCATTCCCGTTTTATGTCATTAATATCGTTTTTAAAGTGTAAGGCGAGACCCCGTGCGGGCGGCGTTGCGTGTTTTGTGCCTCAGGGCGAAGATGCAGCATCGCCAGGAAGACCGGACGCCGAGGGATCATCGACGGGTGTCACGCGTCAGTGACCCCACGGCATAAGGTCAGGTACCGCGATCCCGTCGCCTCCGCCATCCAAGCCCTATCTAACTCCGCTTTGGTTTCAGCCACAGAGTCTAAGAAACGCAGAAACACGCAGCAGCGGACCTCGCCCGGCTGCAGACGGCTCCGGGACCCGAAGATGCTGCACCCGGAAGAACCGGAGTATGGCCCGGCCAGCCTAACCAGTCTCTTCCGGGAACATCGACTCATCGACACGTTAACGGCCGAAAGATTTGAGGAAACCACAGAGAGCGGAGGGGGGCGCCCTGGATGAACTGTGGGCGGTTCTCAGGGGCCCCCTTTTCGGAAAATCGGCGGGATGCGCAGGAAGGCGACGCGGACTTGGAGAGGACCTACGTGCAGAGCCGAGAAGAGCCACTGTTCGGTGTGCCGCAAGTGCGTGAGGACGACACCCGGGACTCAGCCCGACGACACCGAAGACGCCGAAGACGTCCACTCGTTGTAAGCCGCCTCTCGGGTAGCCGTAGAGTTCCGTCCGGTTATGGCTGGTAGCGTGAGTTATGTCTGTATTTTGTGTCTCTCACACAATTAACCATAGTTTTGATACCGTGAGCGCTCAATTACGTTCAATTACCGCATGTCCAGCCGGCTCCGGATAGCGCGTAAAAAGTCTCTCCGACTTGCGGGAATTAAGTGCCGACAGTCTCTTCTCGTTACCGTTTCGTTTGTCGTTCGTCTTGTTACCGTACCGTTCTACCGTTACCGTTCTTTCGAAAATACCGATTGCTACCGTCGTTCTGTCAAAGTACCAATTATTACCGTCTTTGGTCGCGTTAGCACCGTACCGTGGGTGAATGTTCGCGGGCGGATTTTGATTCGGAAACGTTCTCCGCGAGACTGCTGTTACCGCAAAGTTAGCGTCTCGGCGAGAAGCGTGAGAGCCCGCGAAAAATGCCGACCCGCGACATATCCTTTCTGGCCATTAGGCTACCGTCGTTTAAAGTCTATTTATTTGGCCTTCACCGGCCGTATCGGATGATCAAAATATAAGTCCTTCGTGGGCTGTATATAGTCGGATCAGCGGCGAATTATCGCAATTCTCGAATCGCGTTCCCGAGATTTGATGTAGGCATCGAACTCGATTCTCGTTACCGAATTTATAGGGCGAAGGGCCCTACCATCGTATCAACCTATTTCCGCCGTATCGGCTCCGGCCGAATAGTTTAAGCATCTTTACCCTTGTAAACTAAATCACTGAAATACATCATTGTTAACTGTTAATTATTGAGTTATCCTTGCGTTAGCCTCTCACTCCAGATATCTAACGTTAAGTAAAAGAACTGCGCCCCTCTGCCATATACTGAGCGGGGAGCGGCCGAGCAATTTTGTGAACTGTTAAAGTTACAGATACCGCGGTGCGATCACTCGCACCTGGCGCCCAATTCCGGTTACCGATATCGCGTGAGTTACCTTGCTCCCGAATTTTGTGGAGTACCGCGAGTTACCGAATCGTGCAGTTATTGCCGATTTCGCGAGTTACCTTGCTCCCGACGAGCGTGGAGTACCGCGAGTTACCGAATCGTGCAGTTATTGCCGATTTCGCGAGTTACCTTGCTCCCGACGAGCGTGGAGTACCGCGAGTTACCGAATCGAGCATCTGCTTCCGATACCGTAAGTTACCGAATCGAGCATTTATTGCCGATACCGCAAGCTACCGATTTCCATTCGGCGTGCTCCCTCGGATCTGGCGTGATTCCGAGGCCAGTTCACGTCGCAACTTGTTTGCGCGGTATTTGGCGAGACTCAGCGAGACAGCGAGACATTACCGTGGATCTCACCGTTTGTGATTCTTACACACGTGGAATCTGTTGAACAGATCAGCATCAACAAATCTATTTGTCTCACGTAAAAGGTATGTACAATACTTATAATTATTATATAAAAATTGTAAAGGCCGCTCTACATAAGACGCAAGACGCGGAGTTCGCAGATCGCGGTTAGACGCAGCGTGACATATTTCCAATCTTGCTGCGTTAACGCAGGACAAAATTGTTTGCGATGCACTTCGTACAATCTCGTATCGAATAGAAACGTAATATTATGTATGTATGGAGACTACAATAGACTCAAAAATCTTGTGGCCAGCGTTCGTTCCCAGCGACCTGCGACTTGCATTCTGCATCCTGCGTCTTATGTAGAAGGGCTTTAAGG